TGGCAGCCGAAGTGACACGGACAGTGTGAGGAGGCCCTCCCGGTGCCCCCCGCCAGCCCCTCCGCCTGGTGCTGCAGCCCGGCCTGAGAGCACAGCCAGCCCAGAAACATCCCCCCCTCCCGAGGAACCACGGTGTAGCTTGAAGAGAAGGAAGGCTGGCTGCCAGGCTGCCTTGCAGAAGAGGAAGGAGAGAGAAGAACTGAGGAGGCAGAAAGAGCAGGAAAAAGAGCAGAAGAGGGCCCTTGCCAAGAGGCGGAAAGCTCTGCGACCAGGAGAGTGCCAGAAATACATGACAGTAGTGGTAGATGAAGGTACTTGTCCTCACAGCCTGCATCTGCCTTATCTCAGCTGTCAGCTCTTGCTGTGGAGGTCTGACCCATGCACCCATTTCAGTTCTCTTACAGGTAGAAGGTGGTGGGCAGATCTTCAGTGCTCTGCGGGCTGCAAATTATTTCTGTGTGGTTGAGAGCCAGGCTGTTCCCTGCAGCGTCACTTGGAGGAGAAAGGTTGTGCCATCTCAGGTGTGGGAACAAAAATCTCAATGTCTTGCCCTTTTCTTCCTCTGTTATTTGCACTCGTTACTAATTGTGTTTAACAACCCAAGTAAATGCTCCCTAATCTTCTCCCTGCCTCAGAATTCCGAGTGGGAGCACTGGTTTGGGTGAATTATAAACAGACTGTTGGTCTGGCTGTTTGTTTTCATATCTGGACAGATGGAAGAAGGAGATGAATGGACAGAAGAACCAAATGTCCTGGTTCTGCTTCGCTGGGAGGAGTTTCTGCCCATGGTTCGCAACTACAAACAAGCCAGACTGCTTGTGAGTTTTGTGCTCTCAAACATGCCTTGCTGCCAGGCTGGTGTTTGCCATCCCTTTCCATGGCAGGCAGGTTTTGATGTGGGGTGCAGCTGTGGTTGCAGGAAACCAGAAATCTGGTTTTATAAGCCATTAATACATCCAAAACACCTGGTTAAATTCTTTTGCAGATTTTCTGAAGAGGTAACACTGTCAGATTATTGTAAGTGGGATGGTTTATTCTGCCTTTATAATGGATCAAGTATAGCCTGTTCGCCCCTGAGATCTGTGTGAGCTGAGTTTTTCATCTGCAGAATCAGAGCCATAGGTTGCTATGCTTGCATGTGTACCACAGAATGCCTTAACTCCTTTCTTCCATTGGTCTTTGCAGGAGGCCCAGGACTGCACAGAACAGAAGGAGACCCTCCAGAGCTATGTAGCTTATGTGGCAGAGAAAATGCCTGGGAAAATTCTGGCTCTGGCAGTAGCTGATGTAGAAAAGTATTTGAGGTTAAACTTTTTTCCATCCAAATTTTTCTCTGTTGTCTCTGGCTTTGAAATAAACTCCCTATGGTGTGGTTTACATTAAGTCCTCCTAGCAAAGACTGGAGGATAAGATATATTCTCACCCAGAACTGTGTGTTGTATAGAAACAGAAGCAAAAGTTCATCCAGCCTGTCACCATAGTGAACAATGACAAATACCTGGGGAAGAACATAAACTCCCATTCTTACTTTTATTCTTCTTAGGTCCCTCAGGTTTCAGTCAGGAAAAGGACTGCAAGGGGCAGCAGGCAGTGGAAACCAAGAGGAACAGGGAAAAAGGAGAAAAAAGAAAGTTAGGGATTCTGGCCTGGAGCTAACCAGAATGGATGTGGAAGAAGTGAGTACCTTTAAAACAGGTGTGTGCAGCCACCAGCTCTGCTTGTCTGCCATTGTTGGAACATTTGAGCCAATCACACACACTCATGGTTGGGGGGATTCAGCCACTGTTAGTCTGTGTGTCTGGTCAGAGCTCTCTGGATTCACTTCCCCCCTACTCAGCTCCCTGCTCTCCCACATACTGACGTGTCTCCTTCACCTCTATCCTGGGCAATGAAATTACTGTCTGT